TCTTAAATACCCAGTCTACGCAGTAAACCACGAAGTGGCCACACGAAGTCCACGCGAAGTTTTTGGCATCTCGTTTCACCAGCCAAGAATTTAGGCACGTACGAAATTAATGGAAGAAGGCAGTTACAACCAAAGGCCTATATATATCTTGAAGAATTCACTTTGAAGGGGGTCGGAGATTTTGCTACAAAACCATACTTTTTCCTTTCTGCATTATTTTGTTTTATTTGATTTTGAACCATTATAGCCACTGTAATGTTCAGTTTCCAAAAGCAGTTTCCAAAAGTAGTTTCCAAAAGTGTTAATTCTTCATCTAAGGATTAACACGGTTAGTCATATATTTCAATTAATCGCAAGGATACTGTACGAACTCAAGATTACCACAACAACATAATTACAGGTTTTTTATGCAATTGGTTTTTATTATTCTTATGCTATGTTAATTATTTTTATGAATTGTATTTTACGTTGCATGGTTACTAAATACATTATGTCCGGCTAATTTCGTTTATACCGGTATGTGACTCCTAAGCACCGAAGGAATTTGGTGATAACTTGGCTAAAAACTTTTATAAATAATTTCTGGTTTCCAATTTCCATATTTAATTTAACTACCCTTGTCACGAGAGTGAAAGGATATTTAACACGATTTTACTACGAGAGCGGGAAATTAATTAAGACAAGAACCTGCATGCGAGAGCTGGGGTTCGACCCAGATAGTGGTAACGAAACATCAATTTTTAAATACACAAGAGTGTTTTAACAAATTAATTAAACTCAGGTCGTTTTCAAAAAGTGTTACTAAATTTAAAGTGCATCCACTAGGTTTAGTAGCATAACTTATTTCATGAACACGAGAGTGTATGTCTCAGGTTTTTAAACAATCCGTTTTTACCGAAATATTTTATATGCCAAGAGATTCACCGAGTTCCCGAAGTCCGACTATCACATACCGGTATAATTATTACTATTGTTTTTAATTAAAATCTTTTTCCCCCAAAACCAAATATTCATCGATTAGTTAAACAATTGTAACATTAGATCGTATGCGATTGATCCTCAGTCTCTGTGGGTTCGATAATCATTTAAAACTAGAACGACTAAACTGTATACTTGCAGTTAGTATCCCGATAGACTCATAAAGTCCCGATCACATAGCAGCTTTTAGCTCCTCAATCTCCCTGGACAACCGTTGGTTGTCGCTCTCCAACCGTTCCTTGTCGAGTTTGAGGCAATCCCTCTCCTCAAAGGCCTTTTCGGTCTTCTCCTTCTCCCTCGACAGTAAGTCGGCCTGTTCACAAAACATCTCCTCGGACCGCTCGAGGGCCACCTTCAACTTGCGAGATTTGGCCGCAAAGGCCGCCTTCTCCGATTCCAGCTCCCTAACCCGGTCCGTAGAATCTGATCCTTCCCCTGCAAGGAGCACAACCATCTCGGCCATTTTCACCACACCGACCATGCTAGCGGCGAGGTGTTTCCTCTGACCATCCTTGTCGAGCCGCTTAATAATGTTAGCCTCGTTATCAGACACGGTCAGGGGAAACCCCTCGAAGAAATCCTTCTCCACAAAGCAAGGCGGTAAGCCAAAAGCCCAGGCAGCTACGGGCTCATCACCAGTTTCCGCTCCGCCCTCTGGCCAACTCCTCTTCCTGCTAACCAGCTCAGTTTGTCGCTCGGTGTCGGGAGAACCCAAGGACCCACTGGATCCGTCTCTGCTCGAATCAGCGGACGGGCCCATCTGCGTGGCCTGCTGCGTTCTCACCAGTCTATTACTTATCTTTTTATCTTGGGTCAACTTCAGCAACCTCTCTCGGCGTTCCGCCATGTGACCTGCAAGAAGAGCGAACCAGGGTTAGCTACAAATGATTAAAGGCAATTAAAATGGAATAACAATAAGATCAAAAGCAAGAAACCTAGGAGATCTACGGCCTGCCCATAGGATTGGCATTCAACAAGCGCCTTGGTATTAATAGGGTGCGCCTCGACGTCGGGTAGCCATCCTCATCTAGAATGTCCTCCCCTTCCCTCGTGACCCACCGAGCGGGGAAAAAGCCATCAACAAACTTACAAAGGACGGCATAAGCTTCCTCATCCTCGGGACTCATACTCCCCGCAGGTGTATGATAGTGCCCGGGACCATGGTCATAATGACCTGAGCACCAATGAATAGGGAACCTGGAAATTCGCCCGACTGTGGGACTACCCTCAGCATCCAAAATGGGCTCCCTGTCCTCGTCGACCATAGTGGCTAGCTCGAACAAAGACTCTAGGGCCGTCTGGGTGGTCGGCTGCAGTATGTACCATTTGTCTTTAAAATCCCTCACCGAGTTCATATACATCCTAAACAGTCTCTTCGACTGCTTAAGGGATACCCAACTATGTTTGCCTCCTCGAGACTGACGTTGCAGATGGAAAACCCTGAAGAACAGGGGAATCGTCGCCCCAATTCTCAAGAAACGGCAAGTTAGCTCGAACGCCCGGAGAAAGGAAATCGCGTTGGGGTGGAGCTGCGAGGGGGCCAGGTTCAGATGATTGAACACCCCGACCTGGAAGTCGTTAAAAGGCAACCGAAGACCAAGATCCCTGAACACAATCTCATACATGGGGAACGCATCTTAAGTGAACTCCGAGAAGATGCAAGCATCACTCGTCGGCCTCATTATTTTAAAATTCCGTTGAAATCCTTCTTGAGTACCGCCGTACTCGATGACAGTATAAGCTCGTCTGCTGCGATGGTTGTACACCGAAGAAATTCCCCAGGGCTCAGCGCCCACCCATTCCAATGTGGGGTCGTCGACAATGTTGACCAGGGTACCGTTCTCTTCTGTTGTGTTTGCATCCTTGACATCATTACGTCCCGAGGACTCTGGGTTGTCGGCCATTTACCTGCAAAGTACAGGAAACCGATGAATTCGACAGCAAGTCCGCGTGCTCGCCACAAAGGCGGGGAGAAGTACGCAACGCTCAGATCGAAACTACAGCCATTCGCGAGGGAAACGAGAAACAAGTGGATCTCAACCAAACACTGACACCCCAGCGCCAACCATGCATCAATCATGAATGGCACGAGCGTAACATGAGCGCCCCGGGCGAATCTTGAATCACGCGACCAAGTTCATAATTTCGCTTACCCGATGCTAGAACACTGCGAGAAGACTACCCTACATACTACCTAAAGGATGAATATCCCGGTCAAGTTCATGACTCTACCGACCAAACACATGAGTATCGCGGGCAAGATCATGAATAATATGCCTAAACTTTTGAGCGTCTCGAGCACAGCCATGAATCAGGTGCCTAGCGCACTTAAATCTATCGGGCATAACTTCCAGATACAGGTTTCTATTATCAAAATGCCATCAAGACTATCTATAACACGGGGAAGCAGGAAGAAAGGATACTTACTTGGAAGAAGATGCGTAGAAACAACAGTGGTGGGAGTAATCAGACGGCGAATGGCGCGGCGGTCTCAACGGCGTTACGGGAACCAACGACTGTAAAAACAGAGAAGGCAGGAGGAGCGTGAGGAGGTGAAATAGACTATGGGCCTAGGGATCCTATTTATAGGGATGACGTGGAATGTGAAACGTCTCACCGGGGAACCATGAACCGCCCCCGTCCTCGACACCTACTCACCTAGACAATAATGGCCCTATTTACTAGGGTGGCGTTGCAATTTCTGAGGACTACACCACGTGTCCGACGGGCGCAGCTGACGCATCCCCGCAAGCGATCCTTGAGTACACCTCGAAAGAGAAAGCCCTGAGTCGGGCACGAGGTCCCCGCGAAAGAGAAAACTGAGATCAAGTCATAACTCCTGTGCCATGAACAACGACTTGGGGGGCTCCTGTTCTGGACTGAGCCTGCCTTGGCCCAAAACACAAATAAAGGCCCAAATCCAAGCAGTTCCTCGAGCTATGCTCGGAATCAGACCGCCCCGAGCATATCCAGTCACAGGCCACAACGGTTATGCCCGCCGCTACCCGCAACGAGCAGCGTCCCTGACCGAGGATGCTCCCACTCGAGCCTTGCTCGAGCATCCTCCCCGTAGGGCAGACTCAGTCCCCTCCAGATGCTGCAGAATCCTTAGAGCTCCGGGAAGACCGCGTCTTCGTTCTTCCTCATTCTTCGCGGAGCATCATCTAGGAAGGGGACCATGTGCGGGTCCCCACTACACACGTAGAACCTGGCAGTCCCTTTGTTGGGCCAGCTTTGGTCGGCCCAATAAAGGGACCTTGGCCCAGCGCTGGAGGCTATAAATACCCTTTATTTCAAGAGGGTCAGGTATTCAATTGTTACGCACCTACATACTATTTGCCTGCCCATTCCGTATCTCATTTTATCATCGGAGTGTCTTGCAGATATCTCTCATCTCATTCAAATCCAGTTCGTGCCAGCTGTGACGGTCCAACCCTGATCAGGTAAGATCAAAAAGCTAAAGACGTATACGTGGATTCTTTATATTTTAAATGTATTATTAGTGTTTTATTTATATATTTTTCTAAATAAATAAATTCGGTATTTTGTGGATTTTAATATTTTTATTATTTTTTACTATAATTAAAATAAGATTAAAAAAATATTGAGATAGAGAGAGATCTAAGAGGTGCTAACTTATCATGGGGGTTAGGGTAAGTAAAAGAATGTAAATTATGAGGGATAAGGGCCAAGCCCAAATTAATTATGACCCTAATTCACTAATAAAATAATTGAAATAAAAAAGTAAAAATAATTAGACAAATTAGTGTACATAGAGACCTGGGGCGGCACATAATATTTCTAGGAAGAGATTTTTGACTTTTCAACACAATAAACCCAACCAACCATCGGTAAACACATGACAATGAATAAAATAAAATAAAATGTATAAACACGTTTGCAAAGAGAGCGCGCTTAATTTCCTCGTGTTTGTTATGGATTTCTCCATATCTCTCTAATATTTTCTTCTATTTCTCCTCATCTTCAAGTTATAACAAAAGTAACGCCAAAAAACATGAAAATCAAAAGAGAAATAATACTAACACAGTGGTGGCGGTGGACTCGACTGGGGCGGTTATGAGAGCAAGGGAATACGGTCGGACATAGTTGAATCCGATGAAGTCACGCTGGACTGGGTGTTTACCGTCGGGCTCTGTGGCGTGGCGGTGTTGAAACAATTGTTGCTTTGTCTTGTGATGTCGATGGGATAGTGAGTTGTAGAGATCTTGCAGTTGTTTGCTTTGCGGTGTTGGGCGATCGACGGAGAGACGGTGATCGAGAGAGTTTAGCATTTCCGACGATTGTGTCGAATTCGTTTCTGATTTTTATTTCTGCCACTGTATTTCTATTATGGACATGCAAACAACAATTCTCACAAGCTAAAACTTATTGTTAGTATGTTAGAAATTTTTGGCTAATTAATCTGATATGGAAGCATTTAATGAATATATAAATATTGCATGTTGTTGTTGTAAAGTGATATTGTGTTGTTGTTACTTTCTCTCTTTGATCTCATGTCATCATAAATTTTGAGAAAGTTTGGTGTAGGTGAAGATGTACTACGTTTAGGGAGGGAAAATCTGTGAAGTTTGTAATGTGTAAGCAAATGATAGTTTATGGTTTGTGCAAGTTTTGGTGTTATGGATATTGAAAGTTTGTATTTTGTAAATAGAATTGGTGGTAGAATGTTTCGTGGATGTGCACAGTATGGATACACTGAATTGTGAAAATTGACAGAAAAAAGAAAAGGGTTTGTACAAAAGTGTTGTGTTAGTGTGTTCATGTACCGTGTATTTGTTTGTATAAAATTATAACGATTAAAATGTTAGTATATAAAATTATAAAGAAAACATGTGACCCAAATATATTTTTATACAAAATTTGGTACACAAATTTATTCGATGATTCATCACATGGAATACAATTGCAAAATTATAAATAAAAGGGTGGGGCCTCATATGAAATCATCAACAATTTGTTGGTTATTGTTTGATATAGACAACATCAGGGTTTCAGGGTTTTCGTTTAGAAACCCTGTAAAAAATCAAAACAAAAGTTTGAATTTTTGATGATTTTGAAATTGTTGATGAAAAATTTAGGAAAAATAAGAGTCCTATTTATAGACCTAAATTAGGTTGAAAAAAACATAGCAAGTAAGTTATCCAAAATGAATGAAAAACCCAAAGTTTGATCTCCAAAAAAGGAAAGAAAATTAGCAACAAAAAAATAGAAAAAAGAAATTGTTAAGTTCAATGCAAGAGATTCAAACTCATGACATCATACTTGCAAGTTTAATTCCCTACCAACTATGCTATATTACTTATTCGAAATAAAAAAACCAAATGAAAATACATGAAGTCGAACAAGTATTTGTTTATTCAAAAGTAAAAATGATCTGAAATAAATTAATATATTTTTAAATAGTTTTGGAAGTGAATATTTATAAAAAATAGAGAATATTATAAAAGCAATGTTGAAAATATTTTTGACCGTAGAAATAAAGGGAAGGCAAATTTGGGGTATGACAACTTGCAGTGTAAAATTGAAGAACTCTAAAAAAAGTTCCAAATGTCCCCTTTTAAAGCCTTCAAAAACAATCAGATCACGTCAGAAATTTCCCAGAAAAAGGGCCCACTGCGTGCATCATGGGCTACATCACACGTACATTGCAACTGTAACAGGTTCATCACGCACGTGATGGTTGTGTGATTATTGCAGTAACTTGCTCGTTTTTGCTCCATTTTTCAGCCAAATTTTACCAAGTCCCTATTTCTTCATACTTGGTCATTTTTTCTTCATTCTTTGGCTATTGTTCATCAAATTTGGTGATTTTTGACTTGTTTTTCTGTTTCTTTGACATAATACATGAAATGACAAAGTGTCATACAACCCCAAACTTAATTTGTTGCTTGTCCTCAAGTAACTTGCATGCAATTGAAAATTTCAAACAGAAACACAAACTACAACAGTAACAATTGAACATCACCATATACTATTTCTTTTACCTGATCACCATTCTAGCTTCTAACTGCAATCCGGAAAATTCAGAAAACATCCTCAACCTTGTCAAGTACTTAACATGTCTCTCATCTTACTGTAATTCACTCAATTGACAGGGTAATTTCTAATTCGACATGCAGAACTGCTTATACTGATTTTGATCATGTTCTAACAAAATTCATCAAAGTAATCAAAACAAACACACTTGAGGACTTTTAGAACATAACTTGGCTTAGGTTCAGGTAAGATATTTTTTGGAAAGTAGGTTTAAATATTTGGAGTTAGGTTCCTAGTTCTCTTTTTGTTATCATACCAACTCTTTTCCTTTTAACTGGTGCTAGAGATTTTTTACTTTCAGTGGTATTTGTTATGCCTTTTGCATTCTTTTTTTGAAGAAGTTGCTTTAACTTCTTGTTTTTTTCTCAATTTTTGAAAATTTGACCATTATTTCTAGTACCCCGAACTTAAACTTTTCTCACTTCCAAGAGCAACCCCAAACTTGTTCTTTTGCATATGATAGGAAAACTAAAACTTTAACCTAACTCCAAAGAGAGGGTGGAAAGATTTAATATTTTAAGTCAATTGGCTAAAAGACGTGGTTATGTCATCGAAACAAGAGGATAATCTCAAAGTGGTTAGAAAAGGATATTCATAATAATACAAGTTGGCTTAAAAGGCTCGGAGTTTAAATAAGAAACTGCCTCAGTGTGTGTAAATCAAACTAGATAAATTAAGTCGAAAATAGTTAAAACCTGATAAAATAGTAAAGCATGGATACACTCAAAGAAAGAAATGGTAAACAATAGAAATATTTGGCTTAAACATTAATAGATAAGGTATCTAGAGATTGAGTACCAAAATGTTGATTTTGCTTCCATCTTTCGCTTTAGATTCATAAGTCTCTTTTCTGATTATCATGTTTTATTTTATGGTTCCTTACAATGCTATAGTTTCAATTATTTGAAAATTTGAAAGAAATAACAGAAGCAAACTTGTTTATTATTTTCAAACAAAGATTAATTGATCTACGAATGTGCATGAGTAGATAAAACTCTTTTTATCAAAATCAATTACGAGAACATAAATTTCATGGAAAGGTAAATAAAGTGGAAAAAATGGACGGGTTGCCCCCCATCCAGTGCTCTTTTCTTGTTCTTAGCTTGATATCTACATTGTTAAGGCTCTACAAGGACCAGAGATACTTTTTCATTTGGTATCTCCACTTCATAGTAATGCTTCAATCTCTGCCCCATTACTTTAAACTTTTGCATATCTCCAGGATCTTGAATTTCTATAGCACCCCCTGGGCAAACTTCTATGACAATGAAAGGTCCTGACCATTTTGACTCAACTTCCCTGAGAAAAGTCTAAGTCTGGAGTTGAATAGCAGAACTTGTTAACCAATTTGAATATATCATCCTACCAACTTTTTATCAAGATACCTCTTTGTCATTTGTTTATAAGTTAATGCATTTTCGTAAGCGAATAAACACATTTCTTCGAGCTCATCCAACTTCAGTAATATTTTTCTTCCAGCCAACTTTTCATCAAAGTTCAAAATTTAACTTCCTAATAAGCTTTATGTTCTAGTTTCACAGGAAGATGACATGCCTTTTTTTGTACCCCAAAATTTGCCCTCCCATTTTCACTCAAGACATGCTTCTTGAGGTCCTCAATTGCTCAAGGATGATTAAGAATTGACTAGGCAAATTCTCCTCCTAAGGCAACAAACCTCAACTAGGGTTTCAATTTTCATCAAGATGTTTGAGCTCCAAAGGTATCAAATGATTTCCATTGTCCTAGTATGTCCTCAAGATCATCCATGGCAAAATTCATGCCTTGAACAACAATTTTTCTCAGTCAATTGCTCAAGTATTAGGAAATAAATTGTACTAGGTCAAAAGTCAACGGTGGCCCAAATACAGTTAAACTTCAAGATTTTTAGTCAAAATTAACATTTTGAAGTAATATCCATCATTTGATCAAGGGTTGATCATGAATCCTCAAGAAATGCTCCTAACTCATCAAAAGTCAAAAATGGCAAATTAGGGTTTTTATAGGAAAAGTCAACCAAACTTTGACCAGACATAAATTTCTCATACTTTATCATAAATTTTACCTCAAAGGCTCATTTTGAAGAGAATCCAATTCCCTACAACTTCTCTTCATCCCTCAAGTTCAAGAAATGCCTCAATCAAAAGATATAAGTTCAGACATTGCAGGTCCTTTCAAAAAGTCAACAAAACACCTTTTGGGTCAAAAATCCTTACATGAACATGGAAGATCCAATTGAGATGAAACCAAAAGGGTTGTTTAGAGGACATCCTAAGCTCTGTAAAATGTCCAAGAACACCCTCATAGGGTTAAAATTGAGAAAGATATGCATTTCTAAAGTTGTCCAATTTTAGGAAAATGCACAAAAGTCAATGTGAGCAAATTGGATCTTTTGGACTAAGGGGCGTGGGTTTTGGATCTCAAACATATCCATGGACTTATTTAAGATATTTTAATCCATTATTTTATTTTTATGATATTTGTTTTTATTTATTTGAATGTTTAATCATTTAAATCATAATAAATCAAATAAAATAGTGAAGTAATGAAATAAAATCCAAAGATTTGTTTTATGATCATATAATGAGTCTAGGATCTGATGAGAAAATCATGATTTCGTGCAAGGGTTGATTGTAAAGAAAAGAGTATGTTTTGGCCAAGTTTAGAAACTTAAAATTCCATAGGCAAATCAATCTTTTCTACATAAAGCTCCAAGATTTAGTCCATTTTTGTTACCCTAATGCATCCTAGTATATATGCATAACATTTCCAGACTAGAAAAACAAAGATTGGCCGCATAGAACACACTCAAAAAGTTCCATTTTTTCACAAAAAAGTGGCAATCAGATTGATAGTTTCAGAGGGATTCAAGGAGTTTTGACGTTTGCAATCTATTCCCGGGGACATTCTGAAGCTAACAACACCATTCCCAAGCATCAAAGCACCCAGAATCATCACTTACATCATCACGGTTTGCACCTTAATTTTTGGAATTGATTTTGATCATACATGCGTTAGAAATAGATTTTGAGTATGCATTCTTGTTTGTATGAGCATTTAGAACGTAATTGAATGGTTAATTTCTAGTTTTGATGCATATATGATAACCTGCCATTGTTAGGGTTTAAATGTTCGTTTTAGGGTTTTCAGATAAATGTACAATTAAGCCATGAGAAAGGTACCATCATACTCAGAGGATCAAACTCAGTTGATCCATGACCTTGAATTGGATTTATAT